GAAAAATGTTGGGGTAGCAATACTTACATCTGACAAAATAGACCTCAAAGTGAAGGCCATAACAAGAGATAAGGAAGGCCACTTCATAATACTAAAGGGATAGATACAATAAGAGTATATAACTCAGGTAAAGGTATATGCACCCAATGAAGGAGCACACATATACATTTAAAAAAAAATAACCTTCTGGAAAATATCAAAGGAGGGAGTGAAAGCAATACAATCATAGTAGGGTACTTTAATACCCCATTGACCTTATTGGATAAATCTTATAGAAAAAAATCAACAAAGAAACAACAATCCTAAATGACTCACTAGATCAGAGGGACTTAATTGACATCTTCAAAATATTTCAGCCCAGTGCTATGGAGTATACATTCTTCTCAAGTGCATGTGGAACATTTTCAAAGACAGACCACATATTAGGACACAGGCTAAGTCTCTACAAGTTCCAGAAGATTGAAATCATAGCAGGCATATTCTCAGATCACAATGACATAAAGTTAGAAATCACTATAATAAAAACAATTAAAAAAATAAAATAGTTGGAGACGAAATAGCATACTATTAAACAATGATTGGGTTATGAAAAAGATAAAAGAAAAAATAAAATATTTCTTGAAAACACAACTTTGTTTGTGTTTTCAGGAAATATTTTATTTCCTGAAATATTTTATTTCCTGAAATATTTTATTCCCATATATTCAGGAAATATATGGGACACAGTGAAAGCAGTCCTGAGAGGGAGTTTCATAGCACTTCAGGCTTACCTAAACAAACAAACAACCAACCAAACAGAAAAACTGGTAATGAATTTTCTGACTCTACAACTTAAAAAATTAGAAAGAGAGCAAGAAGAAAAGCCCAGAGAGAGCTGGAGGAAGGAAATAATAAAGATCAGAGTGAAAATAAATGACATAGAGATAAAAAAAAAAATACAAAAGATCAATAAAAGCAAGAACTGTCTGATTGAAAGGATAAACAAGAGTGATGATCCTCTAGCCAGGTTCACCAAGAAGCAAACAGAGAGGACCCAAATAAACAAAATTAAAAATGAAAGAGATGAAGTAACAACAGACCCCACAGAAATACAATGAATTATAAAAAATACAATGAACAACTCTACTCCAAGGAACTGGGCAACCTAAAAAAAATGGACATATTCCTAGAAAAATACAAGCTTCTAAAGCACAATCAAGAAGAATAAAAAAGTCTGAATAGGCTGATAACTATGGAGGAAGTTGAAGCAATAATAAAAAAAAACTTCCAGCAAACAAAGCCCTTGACCAGATGCTTTTACAGGAGAGTTTTACCAAACATTGAAAGAACTAAAACCTCCTGTCCACAGACTATTTCCCAAACATTCAAGAGAAAGAAATACTTCCAAGCTCTTTCTATGAAGCCAGCATTATCCTAGTTCCAAAACCAGATAATGACACTACAAAGAAAGAGAATTACTGGCCAATATCCCTGATGAACCTAGATGCTAAAACCCTCAACAAAATTCTAGCAAATCAGATTTAGCATTATGTTAGAAAGATGACCAAGTGGGATTTATTCTGACCAAGTGGGATTTATTCTGGGGATGGAAGGCTGGTATAATATCTGAAAATCAATAAACATGCTATATCACATAAACAAATTGAGAGAAAAAAATCACGTAATTTTATCAATTGATGTAGAAAAGGCATTTGACAAAAATCCAACTTCCTTCCTTTTTTCCTTCCTTCCTTCCTTCCTTCCTTCCTTCCTTCCTTCCTTCCTTCCTTCCTTCCTTCCTTCCTTCTTTCCTTCCTTCCTTCTTATTTATGTATTTATGTATTTATGTATTTATTTATTTATTTAAAATATATGTTATTGATTTTTTACAGAGATGAAGGGACAGAGATAGAGCTAGAAACATCAGTCAGCTGCCTCTTGCACACCCCCTACCGGAATCGAACCTGGGACCTTTCAGTCCACAGGCCAATACTCTATCCCCTGAGCCAAACCAGCTAGGGCCCAATACCCTTTATTAATAAAAAACTCTCAGCAAAGTGGGAATTGAGGGATCATACTTCAACATAGTAAAAGCCTTATAGACAAACCTATAATCAACATCATTCTCAATGAGCAAAAATTAAAATCATTTCCCCCAAGAACAGGAACAAGACAAGGATGTCACTTTTACCATTCTTGTTTGACACAATACTGAAAGTGCTTACTATAGTGATCAGAGAAGAAGAAATAAAAGGCATCCAAATTAGAAAAGAAGTAAAGCTGTCCTTATTAGCAGATGGCATGATATTGTACATAGAAGACTCTAAATACTCTATCAAAAAACTACTAGACTTCATAAATGAATTTGGGAATGTAGCAGGATACAAAATTAACACTCAGAAATCCATGGCTTTTTTATACATCAATAAGGAAATCATAGAAAGAAACTAAAAAAAAAAATAAAAATCCCGTTTACCATTGTAATAAAAAGAAATTAAGATACTAGAAATAAACTTAACAATGAAGGTAAAATACCTGTACTTAGAAAATTATAGGACGTTGAAAAAAAAAGAGAGAGGAAGACATAAACAAATGGAAGAATATACCATGTTCATGGATTGATAGAATCAACATAGTTAAAATGTCCATACTACCCAATGAACCTATAGATTCAATGCAATCCCCATTAAAATACCAATGGCATATTTCACAGCCTTAGAACAAACTCTCAAAAGATTCATATGGAATTTAAAAAAGACCTTGAATAGCCAAAGCAATCCTAAGAAAGAAGAACAACATTGGAGGGGTCAAATACCAGATATAAATCTATATTACAAAGCCTCCATTCTCAAAAACTGCCTGTTACTAGCACAATAACAGACATATAGACCAATGGAACAGAATAGAGACCCCAAAAGTCAACCCAAGCCATTATGCTCAATATTTGACAAAGGAGGAAAGATCATACATTAGAGTTAAGAAAGTCTCTTCAGTAAATGGTGTTGGGAAAATTGAACAGATGCATGCAAAGAAATGAAACTTAACCAACTTACACCATGCTAAAAAATAAACTCAAAATGGGTAAAGCACTTAAATGTAAGACAAGAAACCAAAAAAATTCTTGAACAATCCATTGGCAGCAAAATATCAAACATATGTGGTAGCAATGTATTTACTGGTACTACTTCTAGGGCAATTGAAACTAAGGAGAAAATAAACAAATGGGACTACATCAAAATAAAAAGCTTCTACACAGCAAAAGAAACCATCAACAAAACAGGAAAGCTCATTGCATGGGAGAACATATTTGCCAATGTAATATCCAATAAGGTGCAGGGAACTCATACATCTTAACAAAAGGAAGATAAACAATCCAATAAAAAATGGAAACTAAATAGAAACTTTTCTAAAGTGGATATACAGAAAGCCAAAAGGCATATGAAAAAATGCGCAAAGTCATTAATCATCTGAGAGATGTATATCAAAGCAACAGTGAGGTATCTTCTCACAACAAATCAAAAAATAAGAAGTGCTGGTGAGGATGTGGAGTAAAAGGAACCCTCAAACACTGCTGGTGGAAATGCAGATTGGCACAACCACTGTGGAAGATAGAATGGAGTTTCCTCAAAAAGTTAAAAATGGAACTCCCATTTGACCCAGTAGTCCCACTTCTAGGACTATATCCCAAGAAACCAGAAACACCAATCAGAAAGGATATATGCACCCTTATGTTCATAGCAGAACAATTTAAAATAGTTAAGATTTGGAAACAATCTAAGTGCCCATCAGCAGATAGGTGGATTAAAAAACCTGTGGTATATCTACACAATGAAATACTACGCTGCTGTAAAAAAGAATGAACTCTTACCATTTGGAACAGCCTGGCTAGACCTGGAGAACATTATGGTAATCAAAATAAGCCAGTCAGAGAAAGATATATATATCACAAAATCTAACTCATTTGTGGAATATAATGAACATCATAAACTGATGAACAAAAATAAATCCAGAGACATGGAAGCATCAAACAGACTGTCAAACTACAGCAGGAAAGCAGGGATGTTTGGAGTGAGGTAAGAGATCAACTGAATGACTTGTATGCATGCATATAAGGATAACAAATGGACACAGACACTGGAGGGAGGGAGGAGGGCATCTGCCAGGGGGAGGTCTTTATGTACTACTATTTGTAATACCTTAAACAACAACAACAACAACAACAACAATAATAATAATAATAAAAGAATGGTTGAAAACAGTCCTAAATGGCGTCACTTGGTAACAATGTGAGGTAACAGATTATGTTAATTACCTTGACTGTAGTGATTATTTCATAATGCATATTATACTGAATCAGGTTGCACATCTTAAATATAAACAATGCATGTCCATTGTAATTCAGATATTTTCAGGTTAGTCCTTTCACGCGCGCGCGCACACGCGCGCGCACACACACACACACACACACACACACTCACACATTCACACAAGCACACACACGGAGACGCCCACATTCATGCAGTCTCGCATACATACTTCCCTTCATTAGCTTCCTCATACATCTCTGATCCCAAATGTGTTTAAAAATATTCAAAGGGAGAAGGAAGGCGTGTTTGTTTTTTTTAATATATATTTTATTGATTTTTTACAGAGAGGAAGGGAGAAGGACAGAGTTAAAAACATCGATGAGAGAGAAACATCAATCAGCTGCCTCCTGCACACCCCCCTCTGGGGATGTGCCCACAACCAAGGTACATGCCCTTGACTAGAATCCAACCTGGGACCTTTCAGTCTGTAGGCAGATGCTCTATCCACTGAGCCAAACAGGTTTTGGTGTGAGAATTGTTTTTAGTAAATGACACAAATATATCTGTGTCATGGCCATTGGTCCAATAGGCTTTTGTCATGGACCAGTTTATACGGGTAATAAGGTGTTTGTGCATGTTTATAAACTAGAAAAGAATTAAAAGAAGAAAAAAATCTCCACATAAGAACCATGGCACTATCTTCAGAGATATTTGTATTTGAGTTCTTTATTACACAGGAAACATGAATAACCTTACCAGTCAGAAAGAGTGAGTCTGAATGATCTAGTGCACAGTTAATACTCCTTCTACTACAGTGATTCAGAAGTTTGGGAAGAGAAAAAGAAAGTTCCCTGTGTCATAATCTTAGACCCAAACATAACAAGGTTGCCAAATTTTACAGTCAGAGCTCTCATTTTCCCAGGTTATATTTCTAAATTTTTAATGCTTTTCCTCCAACAGCTGGCTGCTGGGAATACCAAAAAGCAGATACTTTCAAAACACTCCTTGTGATGAAGTAGAAAAAACTGGATTAGTAGGCAGTTGAAATGGATTTTTTTGCTTCAGCTTTTCCACTAACTTCATGGTTGTTAGCAAATCCTTTAACTTTGGGCCCTATATGTGGCAACATCAATATCACAGGAGTGTGTGGTATTAAAATGAGATAACTGAGATGGAAGCACCTTAAAATACTTGAAATGCTATATCATATGTATAATGATTACATTCCAGAAAATAGGACTTGAGAGGATTAAGCTGACCAGTATTATAAAAGGAAATAGAAGTTTGTAGAAAATTTTATTACAGAAAAGCCCAGTCCCATTATAGGTTTGTCTCCATTTCTCTTTGATGCATTTAACAGAATGGATTATATAGAGAAAAGGGAGTGTTACCAGGTAAGCAGAGGAGGCAGAGCCTGAGATAGCTCAAATGCGTAACACATTGCTATTCAAGGAGTAAGTTAAAGGTCAACCATGGGGTCATAACCCCTTCAGGGTAGCATCTAGCTGTCCAAGTGCACAGGCACCAGGGGTTTACCCTCACAGGCAATGACCACACGCCTAGTGCTGGCTGTGGCCTGATAATTGCATGTGGGGGGCTGGTAAAGTCCCATAATCGCCCTGTATGAGCAGTAGGGGGCCTTGGAACTTCCTGTATATTTGCAGTCTGTGACTCTTACTACACCCTCATGGCAGTTCATCTTGCCATTCTTGCATCGGATATTGGGGGTGCTGCAGATGCTAATAATGGTCTCGATGTCTTCATGGATGAAGGTGTTGAATTCCTTGCAACCACGCGAAGTCATCCCCCGTATTTGCATCATCGTGTTGCAGTACAAGTTGGTGCCACCTCTCCCTGTAGAGTCTACATGTTGCCGTAGGAATCGTTGGTACATGAACTGGCCATAGGAGGGCTGCACCAGCCCCAGCAGGGTCAGTAGCAAGAGCAGGAGCAATGGAAGGGTCTTCTGGAGAGCCATTACTACCTTAAAGGTGCCTGGGGAGAAACCAATAGGTAGGAGAAAGGAAGTTAATAAATGGGCATCAGAGAGAGGTATTGAGAATGGCAAATTGATATTTCCTCAATTCTGTAGTCTACTCTTTCCTCCCTACTTCTCTACTCACAACTTTTCTCATCACTGCTTCCCAAAGAGTAAAAAGTTTGAAAACATGATCTTCTCTGAAAGTAAGAGCTTTTCTCTGATAGAGAGAGAGAGACACTGCTATAGCCAGTAGAATGACTCAGGGCAGAGACTGACGGGCTGGATGTCCGGGTGTATGTGTCCTGTATGGTCAAGGTATGAAAAGGGAGAAAAGGCAGATTTGAATGAAACTGGAGTTGTCTGTCTCTTGAGGAAATTCTCTCGTCGTGTGAACTTTGGAGAGTATTTGGTTCTCTGGAAACTCTGATTTCCAAAAGTATGGATAGACAAGATATGCCAATGAAAGTTCGTTAACTGATTTTAATTCCTGAAATATGGGAATTGACGGAGGTGTGGAAAACAGGACAGAGAAAAGTTTAGGGTTAGCCTAACCTCTGATGTGTCTATTCTTTTTTTAAATTAAAAAAAGTTTCAATTACAGTTGACATATAATAGTAATCTTAGTTTCAGGTATACCACACAGTGATTACATATTTATACACTTTATAGAGTGATCACCCATAAGTCTAGCACCCATAGGACACCATACATTGTTATTACAATGCTATTGACTATATTCCCTATACTGACTTGGCATCCCCATGGCTATTTTTAAAACTGGCCATTTGTACTTCTTAATTCTTTCACCTGTTTCACCCAGTTGGCATTCTTTTAATGATATTAAATCAAGTCTTTTTTGAAATCTTGCTAATCCCATTAAAAAAAAAATAAGAAAGTATCCAGTCAAAGTACTCTGAAGATAGTAAATATTGGTTGAGTGAACTAATAAACAAAATGAGGGAACTAATGAACAAATCAAATGATATGGGTATTAGGAATGAAGGTGATTCCCAGGCTTATGGAATTGACTGAAAAAAGAAATTTTAAAAATAAAAGTCAACAGCACCATCTCCACAAAAGACTTGGACTGTGACTTGTTTCCTTGCTGTTTCTATGCACAACCAAAAACTAGGCCTTGGTGATGTATTTCATTATCATGCATGTCTCCTTCATGCTATGTCTGTCTCGTCAATAGCTGTTGCTAGTTTTCTGTAGCCTCTAGTTGCAGAATCATGTTGTTGACACTTTTGGCAGTATAAAATAAACATATGTTTAATAGAGTTTAAATACAACACAAAAACTAAGCAAAAACCTTCAGAGCCACAACAAAGAAAGCATTGCTATATTGTGTCAGAACATTGCTTCTATGGACTGAGAAAAGGAAGGAACCCAGATTTATCTGACTCTAAAATCAGTGCTTTTTCCACATCTTCTACTGCCTCTCTCTTTCCACTTCCCAAATATTCAGGATATTCAAGACATTTATGTTCAGAGTTGCTTCTCTCTAGCAACGGTTTAATTTAATTAGAGTTGAATTGGGTAAGAGTGGAAGTGGGAATCCCTCACCAACACTAACTAGGTAGATATTGCCACCTGATGGTCACTCCTGAGATTGGCATGAACTCATGAACTAGGAATTTCTTTGACCCTGGCAATAAGGCAGAGCTGACTCAATAGAGCAGCAATTTTCAACCTTTTTCCTCTCATGGCACACATAAACTAATTATTAAATTCTGCAGCACTCCAAATAATATATCATTTGTCAATCTGACAAAATAAGTAGGTATAATTTTGATTCATTCACACCAGGCAGCTATTGTGCTGATTCATTCACACCAGGCAGCTATTGTGCTGTTTATAATTTTTTAATTTGACAATCTAAGGGAAAGGTGGTCAGTACTCCTGACTAGTCAGGTATTGCATGTTTTAAAAATTCTTGGGACATACCCAGTGAAAATTGCTATACTAGAGCAAATAAAATTAATCTCTGACTCAACAGCAACCCAAAACAGAAAGGACAGTTTTTGAGGGTCATACAAGCCCATTTCTACATATGCAGTCCATGGGTTGATCATAGCTGAAGTCTTGGTTTAATGTGTATGGGTACTACTGTCCTTTGCTTTCAAAGATGCTGCTTCATGATGGCAGGTCACACTGACTGGGTGACTGAAATGGCTGATGAGGGATCTGCATACCAGTTTCAAATATAACTTCATTCTCTACAATGCTATCTCCTATAGTCACAGCCACATTTTGCTTGTATACAAAAAGCTAGAAATCTCTAGGGTACATTTCAATGCCTACAGCTATAGATATGAGATATGCATTTAGGAAGTCAGAGAAGGGAACAGTTGTGGGAAGAAGAGTAACAGGGAGAAATGATGCTTGATTAACTCCTCATCCTTAGACTAATGATAGAATTTCTGAAGGTATACTTAGCACTTGGATCATAGCTTTATCACAACAATGTACTTTGGTTATTTTCCCCAAATCTAATGTTGCATGGTTATTCTTGCACTTCTGATTTTGCCTGGGACTGTCTAACTTTTTCTCATCCTGCTTCTTGGTGTCCACGATATGATTTAGAAATATAACTGGCTACAGAGAAGACCTAAACTATTCATGCAAGAGCAAATCCACAGCCTCAGCCATATAACCAACTGATTTAACAAGACATCAACAAATACTTGCCAACAGAAGTCCAATGTAGACTTCAATGGGTGTATCTCAAGCCTCTAGCTACAAAAGAAAATGAAATGATCCCCAAACCACCCCAACACATACTTTTTGGTCAGAACTTGTCTCAAAGAATTCTTCACTCTTGATTCTCAATATGAACTCCTTTTGATACTCTGATCCCAAAGAACCAGTTCTGTCACTTTAACTATATAATCTTGGGAAAATTAATTAACTTCTCTCAGCGTTATTCCTCATTAGTGAGTATAATAATACCTACCTCTTAGGGATGTTATGAGGAATAAATGATAAAATCAATGTCAAGTGCTTATCTTAATGCCAGGACACAGTAAGTGCTCAGTAAGTGTTGGCAATGATCACTTTTGCAATTTCCATTTTTCTTGGTTTCCTTTGCTTCCTTCAATCTGGATAAAATAATAAGTGACTCCACAAATTTGTATATATTATTGTTCCCCTCTCCATTATTTTGTAGAGTACATGTATTCCTTCAAAATTAGAAGGCTGTTTTTAAGTTGAAATATCTCAGCTACTAGATTTTATGCTGTGTCCCTACAGAAAAACTTCCTTGGCACATTGAGTGGAATTGTCTTCCTTGCATATCACCATCTTCAAAGGACTTGAGCATTTTTAGGTTTTTGTTTTCTTTTCCCTGAAAAGTTAACAAAAACAGTTGACCAGGACTTTAATTCCTCAAAAGATTCACTTGAGATACAGACTGACTTGCCTGTCACATGATGCTTCATTTTAAGCAGCTTTAGGGTGTGAGAGAATAAGAAACCCAGAGCAAAAAATGCTAGGATTGGCTACCAACTTCTAGGTCAGCAAGCAACCCCATCCATTGCCATGTGATTTACTAGGCAACAGTCATTTGCCCTAACACCAAAGCAGAGAATACAATGATAATACTCTAAGCAGATTTTTGGAGAAAATATGTTTTCACAGCTATGGCACACTCAATATAATAATGGTTCATATTCGTGGACTGACTCTTTGAGTAGGTCAATGATCTCTATGGAAGTCATCTTGCATCATATCAGGGTAAAGGTACTAATTGGAAAACCTGAGAAAAGGTTCCAAATATTCTGCTAAAATCTGGACCTTTCTCACATTCTAGCCTTTTATTATATAGGATTGTAACACAGAAAACAAAAAATCCAGGCAGTTAATTTTCTGGGCCCCTGGCAATGAATGTAGTCACCCCTGTTTTGGATTGTGTAGGGTAAGTGCCAGGAATGGAGAGCAGAGTCACCTCGGGGTCACTGGCCTGCTGGTAAAAGGACTCATCAAAGGGAAAGGCAAGCCATGTTCATAGGCAACAACCATGTCTCTGGACCTTGATGTGGCTCTGTACCAGCAGGGAGGCAAGGAAGATCCTGTGTTGTTGTTTTTTTGTTTTGTTTTGTTTTGTTTTTGTCCAATCTCTTCCTAAACTCCCAATACCCCTTCCCTCAAGAATTGTCAGTCCACTCCCTTTCTGTGCCCCTGGTTCTATTATAGTCACCAGTTTATTCTGTACATCAGATTTTATATTCACTTGATTTTTTAGATTCACCTGTTGATAGATATGTATTTGTTGTCACTTTGTTGTTCATAATTTTTTATCTTTACCTTTTTCTTCTTCCTCTTCTTAAAGAATATCCTTCAGCACTTTCTTATCTGTGAAGCTCTTTATCTGACCTTCAATTCTAAATGATAACTTTGCTGGGTAGAGTAATCTTGGTTGTAGGTTCTTCCTATTATTGTATATTTATCACTTTGAATATTTTTTGCCACTCTCTTCTGGCCTGCATAGATTCTGTTGAGAAATCAACTAACAGTTGTATAGGTACTCTCTTGTAGGTAACTATTTTTCTCTTACTGCTTTTAAGATTCTCTCTTGGTCTTTTGCCCTTGGCATTTTAATTATGATGTGTCTTGGTGTGGTCCTCTTTGGATTCCTCTTGTTTGAGGTTTGCTGGCCTTCCTGGATTTGTAAGTCTATTTATTTCAACAAACAGGTAGGGAAAGTTTTGTGTCATTATTTCTTCAAATAGGTTTTCAGTATCTTTCTCTCTCTCATCTGGCACCCCCATAATTCGAATGTTGGTAAGCTTGAAGTTGTCCCAGAGGCTCCTTACACAACCTTTATATTTTTGGATTCTCTTTTCTTTTTGCTCTTCTGATTGGATGTTTTTTGTTTCCTTGTATTCCAAATCTTTGACTTGATTTTTGGGATCCTCTAGTTTACTGTTGAATATCTATATATTATTCTTTATTTCAGTCAGTGTATGCTTAATTTCTGACTAGTTCTTTTTCATTTTTTTTTTTTTTTTAATTT